TGTGTGCACGAGGACTCATCCCAAAGCTGTTGTGTGTTTTGGTGATTTTCAGCCGCTGTTAGTAGCTGAGTGCGGCGCCTTGCGATCAAGCGCGGAGCCTCTGGTATGGTGCATTGGTGCCGTTAGAATACCAAGCTAATTTGCGAAATAGTGAACAAGTGGCGGAGATCATGGCCGCCGCTGATGAATGATGACGATTTGGATTTGTTGCTATATATATTGCACTGCCTGCGTAAGCAGGAAAGCTATGCCCCAAGACCTCCCGATCCTTAAGGAGCCCACTCCAAGGCTCCAAGCGATCTTTCACTTTTGACAATCGCGGAGCTCAAGGTCCTGCACAAGCACAACAACTGCATTACGAAACAATGGCATCAATGCTAAGCAAGTTTCTCTCGACATCAAAGCTCAGGACCACCTTGGCCTGACGGGAAGGACTTCTACATCTGGAGCTACGAATTCGAACTCCTGGCTCAAGGCGCACAGATCTGGATATACTACGACGGATCCTACGCATTCCCAGCCAACGGCTCACCTCAACAGAAGACACAGTCATACAACGAATCGCTGCTGGCCTTCACCGTCTTGATCCGCAATCTGGCGCCCCAAGAACAACTGAGCATTCGCCCCTTCAAAAACGAGTGGGCACCAACGCTCCAAGCCTGGGAACACCTGCACATCTGCCACATGGCAACGGATTCGGTGACACTCAGTCGCCTCCTTAAAGCCCAAGACCTGAATTACAAAAAGAGGAAGGCAAACTATGCACAGTTTGCCTTCCGAACCCACAGTTGACTTTCCGAGCCTGGCTGGTTACCAGAAAACATCGCGCAAAAAACTCGAAGTCGTAGGGCGGAACAAGTACGGTTAGCGAGAGTCCCAACCGCACCCTTCTGAAGGAACAACCACTCAAAGTGTGCACAGTTTGCTTCTTCCGTAATTCAGGTTGTGCTTGCACCGATGGTAGGCTAAGGGATTAGATCGTACGAAGAGATAGAACAAAAAGCCACTAAAGCATAGGCCAGGGTTACTTTCACATTTATTCCTAGTAATCCTACGGCCCATTTAGAACTCCACGCTTTCCGCGTCACCCACGCTCCTCCCCACCGTCTCTCACACACCTCCCCACGCACACGCCCACGCTTCCCTTCGCCGTCGCCAACGCGTTCCGCCACCGTCGCTCACGCGTTCCCTTCCCTCCTGCCTTCCCCCATGCATCCCCTCACCGTCGCGCGCGCCCTCCTCCACCTTCCTCCACGCTTCCCCATACCGTCGCTCGCGCCTTCCCCCACCTTCCCTCACGCGCGCCCCGCTCATCGCCCACACTTCCTCCCACCGTCGCTCTCGCTTTCCCCCACCGTCGCCCACGCTTTCCCCCACCGTCGCCCACGCTTCCTCCCACCGTCGCCCACGCTTTCCCCCACCGTCGCCCACGCTTCCCCCCACCGTCGCCCACGCTTCCCCTCACCGTCGCCCACGCTTCCTCCCACCGTCGCCCACGCTTCCTCCCACCGTCGCCCACGCTTCCCCGCTCATCGCCCACACTTCCTCCCACCGTCGCCCACGCTTTCCCCCACCGTCGCCCACGCTTCCCCCCACCGTCGCCCACGCTTCCCCCTACCGTCGCCCACGCTTCCCCCCACCGTCGCCCCCTCTTCCCCCCACCGTCGCCCACGCTTCCCCCCACCGTCGCTATAACACCTCGCTACCCACTGGGTCAAAACGAGGGTGTTATTTGGCGCAGCGGAATGCCCTTTAACACTAGCCCGCAGGCGTTACACTCGTCCCCCCCTGGTGTCAACGTCCTCGTTGACGAACTTCAGGGAGTCGGCCCCCGCAGGGACCTATTCGCTGTGCTCCAAGCAGCGACTTCGCTGGTGAGGTCAGGCCAGCGGCGGATCGTTCGCTGGGTTCGCAGCTGGGTTACCACATTCCAGGTCTCGCTCAAAGCGGACAATGTGGACCAGACGGGAATCGAACCCTAGGCTCTGGATACCAGTATAACACCTCGCTACCCACTGGGTCAAAACGAGGGTGTTATTTGGCGCAGCGGAATGCCCTTTAACACTAGCCCGCAGGCGTTACAGTCGCCCACGCTTCCCCCCACCGTCGCCCACGCTTCCCCCCCCACGTCGCCCACGCTTTCCCCCCCCGTCGCCCACGCTCCCCCCCCCCGTCGCCCACGCTTCCCCCCCCCGTCGCCCACGCTTCCCCCCACCGTCGCCCATGGCAGGTGGTGGTGCGGCTTTGGAGCAGAGTGTTGGGCGCCCAGCCAGGGCAGCGCGTGCAGGCGGGCAGCAAGGAGTGCAGTGCTGCAGGGGGCGGGTCGGGGGAGGCGGAGCGGGGAAGGCGGGGGTTAGGGAGAGAGGGTGCAGGGATCCTCCTATCCCCCTTATACCCTGCCACACTCTTACCACCTGCCCTCCTCCCTTACTCCGTTCCGTGGGGCCCCCACGGTCGTCCTCCTCTCCCTCTCTCTTTCTCCCTTCCTCCATCTATCCCACACTCTCTGCCTCACTACCCTCTTTCCCCTGCTCCCCGTTCTCCCTCCCTTCCTCCTGCCCTCCCTTCCTGCCATTCTCCCTCTCCTCATCCTCCCTCGATCCAGTCCCTCTTTCCATTTCCATCTCCTACTCGCCGATCCTCTCATCCGCCCCTCCTCTCTTCCGCCCACCCTCTCATCCGCCCATCCTCTCATCCACCCATCATCTCATCCGCCCATCATCTCATCCACCCATCATCTCATCCGCCCATCCTCTCATCCTCCCTTCCTCTCATCCTCCCTTCCTCTCATCCTCCCGTCCACTCATCCTCCCTTCCTCTCATCCTCCCTTCCTCTCATCCTCCCTTCCTCTCATCCTCCCTTCCTCTCATCCTCCCTTCCTCTCATCCTCCCTTCCTCTCATCCTCCCTTCCTCTCATCCTCCCTTCCTCTCATCCTCCCTTCCTCTCATCCTCCCTTCCTCTCATCCTCCCTTCCTCTCATCCTCCCTTCCTCTCATCCTCCCTTCCTCTCATCCTCCCTTCCTCTCATCCTCCCTTCCTCTCATCCTCCCTTCCTCTCATCCTCCCTTCCTCTCATCCTCCCTTCCTCTCATCCTCCCTTCCTCTCATCCTCCCTTCCTCTCATCCTCCCTTCCTCTCATCCTCCCTTCCTCTCATCCTCCCTTCCTCTCATCCTCCCTTCCTCTCATCCTCCCTTCCTCTCATCCTCCCTTCCTCTCATCCTCCCTTCCTCTCATCCTCCCTTCCTCTCATCCTCCCTTCCTCTCATCCTCCCTTCCTCTCATCCTCCCTTCCTCTCATCCTCCCTTCCTCTCATCCTCCCTTCCTCTCATCCTCCCTTCCTCTCATCCTCCCTTCCACGCATCCTCCCTTCCTCTCATTGTTTCTTACAACCAATCAGCAAGTGCACCGTGACGGGATGTTGAGAGACGTGGTGGACGATAGGAGTGGACACCCACCCTGAGCGCAGAGAGATGCAGTGCTGGGCTGGGCACTGGGTATGGGGTCGTGACTTGTTCGCTGTGGCGTGTGCGAGGGTGTGTGATGCGCAGGCGAGGGGAGAATGAAAGCTGATGCGGTGCTAGGCGAGGAGCATGCACCGCTGTGCACACCCCCTACCCCCCACGCTGTGCCCCTCACAGCCCCATGGCAGCACAGCACATCTCTCTCGCACCAACCCCGCACACATGGCAGGTGCTGCTGCAGCATTGGAGCAGAGTGCTTGGCGCACAGCCGGGGCAGCACGTGCAGGCGGGGAGTGAGGAGCGCTGTGCTCAAGGGGGCGAGTGGAGGGGGGGAGGGGACTTGGGGGGGGGGGCACGGGAGTGTGACCCTGCCGCCCTTCTTTTCAATTGCCACCTTCCTAGCTTCCAATCAACCGCCTTTCCGTCTCACCCACTTGTCCTCTCCCTACTTGAATTCCTCACATCCTCCCATCCCCCCTTCTCCCCTTCCACCCTTCCACCCTCCAGCCCTTGTGCTCATCCTCCCTTCCCCTCATTCTCCCTTCATTTCATCCTCCCATCCTTCTTTTCTTCCTTCCCCCCCTCCCTTCCTCCCTTCCACCCTTCCACCCAACGTCGTCCTCTCCTACTCCCTTCCTCTCTTCCTCTCTTCCACCCTCTCCCCTACTCTCTGCTTCAGTGTCTTTCCCCCCTCTCTTTCCCCTTTCCTCCCTCCCTTCATCCCATCCTCTCGTCCACCCTTCCTCCTTGTCTCCCTTGCTCATTTTCTCCCTCGGCACAGTCCTTGTTCTCTGCATCCCTCTCTGCCATCCTCCCTTCCTCTCAGCCTCCTCACTTCCTCTCGTCAGCCATTCCTCTGCACCCTTCTACCCTGCCACGCGACTACACTCCTACCCTGTCTGTATATTTTAGGGGCTTGTTTCTTGTCGCCTGCCCTCCCATTGTCATTGTTTTGTATCCTTCCCTGATGCTTCGTGTTTGTGGTTCGTGTTTGTGCAGGTCTGCCATGGATCCAGTTGTCATGCCTTAGCTGTTTGATGTTAGTGGTATGACAAATAGCCATGCGATGTAGAGATGTTGGATCCTTCTCCTGATACAACACTCTGGGCTTTAGAGCAGCCATGCACATGACCACTACAAAGAAATGCAACAAAGCAAGTTATATTTTTTAAAAATTTGTCAGTAGTAGACTACAAGCACAATGTACAAAGCTAGGAGGTGGTAACTTTCCATCCCACTCCTGTTGGACCCATGGTGCTGGGCACCTGTACAAGCATGATTCTGTGATAGAACAATGAGGGAAGAGGGGATATGGAAAAATAAGCGAAAAGTGGAGGTGGAGGTGCAGAAGGGCATGTATAGGAGGAGTGGACAAGGCAGAGGGGTGAGCAAAGACGAAAGGAGAGGGAGAGCACATGGTTGTAGAGACTTGAGAGGAGGAGACTGTGTCGTGAGAGTGAGGAACTGGGAACGAGGGGAACTGGGAGAGGTAGGAACTGAAAAAGAGAGAGGGGTATGTGTAAAATTGGACACTCATTGTGCGCGGATGGGCAGAACGGCAGCACCACCACCCCCTCCGGCGCGTGCTTCCCGCAGCAGGAAGTGCGCACCGCCTCCAGGCGCTCCACGGAGCGCGCGGAGAGGATCAGCCGCGCGCCCATCGCCGCGAAAGGCGCGCCCTTGAGGCGCAGAGTCAAGTCCGCTGCGGTAGCGCGGAGTGCGCGAGGGACACATGATGCGCGGGACATGCGGGGAGGGGAGGATGGGGATAGCAAAGAGGGATATAGGGTGAGCAGGGAGGAGAAGGAGGTGAGCAAAGGGGAAAGCCAGTAAGCAGGGGGAAACGAGGGGTGTGAACAGGGGAGGTGAGAGGGATTGTGGGGAAAAAGGGTTGAACGAAGGGGAATAGAGAGTAAACAGGGGGGAAAGATAAGTGAGTCCAGGGAGAACGAGAGTGAGTAGTGGGGGAGAGAGTGAGCAGTGGGGGAGAGAGTGAGCAGTGGGGGAGAGAGTGAGCAGTGGGGGAGAGAGTGAGCAGTGGGGGAGAGAGTGAGCAGTGGGGGAGAGAGTGAGCAGTGGGGGAGAGAGTGAGCAGTGGGGGAGAGAGTGAGCAGTGGGGGAGAGAGTGAGCAGTGGGGGAGAGAGTGAGCGTAGGGTGGGGGAATGGAGGGGATAAAGACGAGCAATGGGAGGGGTAGAGAAGGCGACGGGCGGGGAAGAGAGAATGAGCAGGAGAGAGTGAAAGGCAATGGGAGGGGAAGTGAAGGCGACGGGTGGTGAAGCAAGTGCAACAGGCGGGGGAAGCGAGTGCCACGGGAGGGGGGGGGGGGGAGTGAAGGCGCGGGGGTGGGAAGTCGCGACGTGGTGGGGGGGGGTTGAAGGCGACGGGATGGGGGAAGAGAAGGCGACGGGGGGGGGGGGGGGGAAGTGAAGGCGACGGGGTGGGGGAAATGAAGGCCATGGGGCGGGGGAAGTGAAAACGACGGGAGGGGGAAAAGTGAAGGCGACGGGGGGTGGGAAGTCACCACGGGGTTGGGGGGGGTGAAGGCGACGGGGAAGAGCAGGCGACGGTGGGCGGGGAGTGAAGGCGACGGGGGGGAAGTGAAGGCGATGGGGGGGAAGTGAAGGCGACGGGGGGGAAGTGAAGGCGACGGGCGGAGCGTTCGCGACGGGCGGAGCGTTCGCGACTGGCTGGGGTCGCGAAGGCGACGAGCTGCGGAAATGATGGCGACGACGCGGACGACAGAGAGCGGAAGCGTGGGACCTAGGGAAAGGAAAGCGAGGGAAAGGGGAGGGTCACGGTTGGTCGAACGGGTGTGATTCGATTTTCGATGCGGCGAGTTTACGCTACGCAGTAGTTGCACAATAACCTGCATTTCGACACAAAATTCTTCACACAACTAACACTAGCTTTGCGCGTCATCATCGAAATCCGCGCCTCCCACATCGTAAGGCGCATCTGATCTCTTTTGAGTGAACACCGACGCCCTGCCCTGTCTACGGGTATGGTCTATGCCTAATACTAAGCGTGCTATCTCAAACTGTGCACAGTTTGGTATGCAAGCGCTTTTCTGGTTGTGGGAAGGACCCCACCCATCATGGGAAGCGAGAGACTTTTGTCGCAAATTGTTTCGCGAGTTGAAAGTCTCTCGCAACCCAAACGAACCTCTCCGTGCCTGCCTCCCGAACCTAGTTTTTAGCGTTGACTTCCGTTGAGTAATTCAGGTCTTGGGCTTTAACCAGCTCAATAATGTAAAGATGTTTCCCGGCGAGAAGGCCGGACGGTGCATCAACCGCTGCAGAAACTTCATAGACAAGTTCAAGAAAAGCGGCGGCAACTTCCCTGACGACGTGTTTGTCACCATCATCTTCGCTGGCCTGAGTCCGGAATGGCGCCACTGCAAATTGGTTTTGCGCACGGAGTGAATTCTCAACGAAACTTCCCTCTGCTCGTTGCTTCTCACTGAACAACAGGAGATTGACCTGTACAACGAGAGAGGCAATAAGAAGGAGAAGATCGCCTTTTACGTGCAAGCGCCACCAGACAAGAAAAGACTTTTCTGCAAGTACTGCAAGAAGACTGGTCACACGATTCAGGAATGCTGGAAGCTCAATGGCAACGACAACAGTCGCGGCCAGAAAGGCGGAGCAACTCACCCACAGGCCACGGGAGCTCCAGCACGCAACCAGCCATGTCAACACCGGCCATCGCCAGCACCTCTCAAGCTCCGCCACGAATCCCCGCGAACACAAACGACAAGGGAAAAAGTAAGGTGCTAACGTGCATTGTGCGTTGCGGACCCCCTCGCCCCAACCGACACTACCGGTTCTTCCGCGGCTGGGAGGACATGTTCGTGGATCCACCTCAAAAAAGACCTGAAGGGTCGGTCGAAGATGAGGAAGAGAACGACCCCACATACGACGAACTCTCAGTCGGTCGCATGGAGCATGACTGGCAGATGCCGCAGTGGATTCAAGAGTCGCCACCTGCACGCATCGCATACGATGACGAAGACAACTATGAGAACGACCACGACATGGACCATCACATAACACCAAAGCCCGCAAATCTCGCCAAGGCCAAGAACGAAGGAAAACAAATGGTACCTGGACAGTTGCTGCAGGCAACACATGGTCTCGTCAAATGTCTTCATCCTCAACAGTGAAGAACTTGTCAACGACGTCCAAATCACCGTCACTAACAGTCAGACGATCTACGCAAGAAGTCGCGACCAAATTCAGTTGGAATCAAACGACACCAGGTACTGCATCCACATCAGCGACGTTCTCGTCGTGCCGGAACTTCGGTATAACCTCCTGTCCCTGGACCAATTGATGAAGTGCAGCGTCGACCTGTTCACAACAGAGAACGAGATACATTTAATGTACGACATGAGGGAATCTTCTCGGAAAGGCCAAAAGCGAAGGTGGAGTCTTCGTGCTCGACTTCGAAGCACCTGAGAATTCCGGCGACAATGAACACATCATCGTGCTTGATCCGCGTGGTCACCCTTCACCACCATCGTGGAGCCACCCGGACGAAACGGACTACCAACGTCCGGGCCCAGACGGAACCTTCTGCGCGCTCGCCGTACCAGTCGCCTCAACCACCAATCCTGCAGACACTGGAGTATCGACAGTGGAGGAAAGAGAAGAAATCAGCTCGGGAGCACGAAATGACAACGCAGAAAGAACAACTAAAGAAACTTGGCCTGATGGATCACAGACAGCACCGAACTCGGAGCAGCCGCCGGAGGATGGGAAAACGTCGCCACGGAACCTGCGAACATGGAAGAAGAAGTACCAGAAGTTACTGAGGGGACACCAGAAGCACAAGAAGAAGAATTGCTGACGGAATTCGGACCTCATCTACTCCCCATCACAACCGACGGGAGGGATTACCTCCGCGTGGACACAAGGGGAGCAGCGATAGGCGACACCGACTTCGAGGAACGAGAGGTCACGCAGCCGGACGACCGACGGCCAAAAACTTCTTCAATCCTTCCTCAGCAGCCAACGAAGCTTCCTGTGACCATCGACACCATTACCATCGGCAACACCAGCGTATCGTATCACGGCGCGACAATCTAAGCAGCTGCAGTCCGAATTGTCGTACCCGATGAACCTGCGGAACAAGTTTGGAAGGAAACCACAGAATAAGTCTTAGCACGGGAGAAGGAGCTTTACGCACGAACAAGAGGATATCGCGCCGACCCCGACATCTGGCATCAACATTTCGGGCACCCATCAATTGAAGTGCTCAACAATTGCATCAACGCAAACGTCTTTGCGGCAGATGCACTGATACTGCCTGATGGAAAGCTACTCAAACCACGAACTGACTTGCCCAACTGCACCGTCTGCCCGACAGCCGCACTGCGTCACGCGCCCTTCGCCGAGAAGATCCTAGGAGCCGAACGCTACAAGCCGCTTGTGCAAACGTTATCTCGCCTACCACTGCTTCGATGCCTGGCTAGCGATGGCAGAGACCCAGAGTGAGGGACAGAAATTGAAGGCATTCCAGACGGACGGAGCCCTGGAATACCAGACAGAGGAGTTCAAGACCCTCTACAGACAGAAGGGGATCAAGAGGATGATCTCCCTCCCCTACGCTCACGAGCAGCAGGGATTGGCGGAGCGGACCAACAGAAGCCTCGCGACAAAAATCCGAGCCCTTATGAAGCAGTCAGCTGTGCCAACCAAATATTGGCCCTTCGCGATGGCACGTGTAGTTCGCCTGCACAACATGCTTTCTTCAAAAGCGCTGCCCAACAACAACTCACCCTTCAAGGAATGGATCGGGAAGAATCCGGACACACGGATGCGGCGGGTCTTTGGGTGCATGGTACAGTACCGCCCCCACACTGCCCCAACCGGAAAATTTGAAGACCGAGCTCGGTGGGGCATTCACCTCGGAATCGAATCCGAATACCACGCCTGGACAATTCTGGACTTCGCCACCCACCAGCTCACGCGTTCACGTGACTGCATCTTCTACGAAAGACTGACCTTTCCACTGTACCGCGAACACCGCACTGCACAAAACACACCGGACAACATTTTTCAGGGACAGCACAGCTATGCCAATGACGAGGAAGACGTCGACATGGCAGGAGAACAGCCAGACGGGGCAACCGAGGATGAGGCACCCTTCGTACCCGTTACAGAAGAGCTCGGCACAGCAACATTTTTCCCAACAGAAACTGATCCACACGAAGCAATACAGGCACAGCACGATTATGCAAGTGCAGAAATACACTTACACATGGAGGAAGATCTCGCTCGTGATTCCTCTCGCGACACCATTCGCGACATCCCTGGCGACGATGACGACGTGGTCGAAGTCACAAATGCCGCGGAATCCAACCCCACAGGCCTTCGCATCGCCGTCGCCATATGGGGTAACCAGCGACTGACCGAACTCACCACCGTTCGCCAAGCTCTCAACGGGCCCGATGCTGAGAAGTGGAGAGCCGCCATGGGCGCAGAAGTCGCTGCACTTCAGCGGCGTGGCACCTGGAAGCTGGTACCACGACACCACGCAAAGGAGAGGAAAATTCTCACACGGAAGTGGGTTTTCATCATCAAGACACTCGCGGATGGGTCTGTCGAGAAGTACAAAGCACGATGGGTCGTCCGCGGCTTCTAACAAACGCAGTTCGTGGACTACGACAAGACATTTGCTCTCGTCGGCCGACACACCTCCGTACAAATCCTCCTTTGCGCCGCAGTGGTGAAGCAGCGTTCCCTCCGCAAGATCGACGTGTCAAATGCATTTCTCTACGCGATTGTCATTGCTATCATCTACGTCGAACAGCCACATGCCTTTGAGGAAGACGGCAACGCCATCTGCCTTCTCCAGAAATCACTGTACGGGATCAAGTAGGCGCCACGCCTGTGGCAGCAGTACCTCTACACCGTACTGCTCAAACTTGGCTTCCAGCAGCTCCCCCACGACCAAGGGATGTATCGCCTTGAATCCCGCGGCAGCTTCATCCTGCTCGTCGCCTATGTGGATAATCTTCTCTACACTGGCGACAACACGGAGCTGCTCAATCGCTTCGAACGGGAGATTCAAGAGAAGCTCGAGGTGACCATCGACCACGATGTCACTCAATTTCTCGGTCTCAACGTCACCCAGACCGCCGACACGATTCATCTCTCTGCCGCAAAGTACGCGGAGACCCTCGCGAAAAAGTTTGGCATCGTTCCCATCGGCATTACCACCCCGTTTCGCACTCCTCCGCCTACCCACGAGCTCGACACCACCCCGCTCTCCCCGGCCGACCATCGCCTCTACCAGCAGCAGCTCAGATGTCTACTCTTCGCCGCCGTCACATGCCGCCCGGACCTATCTCCCCTCCCCACTCACCCCTCATCTCTCCCCTTCCCTCCTCTGACTTGAGCTTGAGGCAGCATGGGACATCCTTCTTGGAGTCACCAAGGTGTACCCTTTGGAACCCCTTCCCCCTTCGCATTCCTCCCCCATTGTCTCCCCTCCCCACTCACCCCTCATCTCCCCCACTCCCCTCCTTTGGCATGAGCTTGAAGCAGCAAGGGATCTTGGAGGGGTTATTGAGGGGCAACCATGGGACCCCCTTCCCCCTCTGCTCTCCCCTTCCCTTGTCTTCCCTAATTCACTCCTCACCTCCCCTCCCCCTCTTCTTTGGCATGGGAGCCAAGCGGCATGGCATGGGACAGCCTTCTTAGAGTTTCCGAGGTCCCTCGCAGGGCCTCCCTTTTCTGTTTCAATGCAAGTGTACATGTGTGTGATACCGTAATCAAAGTTTGTGCAAGGATGTATGTAACACGTGTTCTGTGTATACCGCTTGTTTTGTAGGATATTATTGCGGGAAAACGCACAACAAAGAAACATGTCTTTCAGGTTCAGACATACCGTACGGTAGCAATTCTCTGAGAATCAAGTATCCAAACATTTCTGGAAGTTGCTGGGCTGGTGGTATTTGAAGCCCAGAGTCCCTGACTATGGTGAAGTGGAATAATAATCCCCAAGACTACTTCTTTGTAGCTACAGTATATAACATTCTCCCAACCCAATGCTCCAGCGAAAATCGTTTTAGGAAGATGCTCTAACCTAAACTTTGGGTTCAAATAAAACCCCTGAGCAGAGCGGATGGGTGTGCGGTTTAACCTAAGGCAGTATAGATGCATTAGTCTAGTGTTTTCATCTGCACAGGTACAGCACAGCACACCGGAAGAATGACACATTAACACATGAAGCAACTCGAAAGGTACACTTAGTGAATTACGCCTTCTCGAAGACACGCCAAACAAGGAAACACTACTTGAACCGAGGGGAAGCAGCACACAGAGCATAACACACAAGAAAAACGCATGTGAAGGCGTGGAAAGGAGCCAAATAGGGCAGATGAGGGGCACAGAGGATGGTGCAGACAGACACAGGACAGAACACGGTAAATAAAGCTTGGAAAGGAACCAACATACAGCAAATGAAGGGTGCAGGACAGGCATACAGAGCACACTTGGCCTACATGTACATGCTCCACCCACACCCATGCCTTGCCGAGTCTGTCGATCCAAACAACCCTACATTCCAGAGTCCAACAATCCAAACCACCCTACCTTCCAGAGTCCATCGTTGAGATAATGCATGAGGTCGACACCAATGCCCTTGTTGATCTTGCGACTGTGTCAAACCATTGTTGGTGTTGGAAGCATGGCATCCGGATAAATGCAGGAATGAAGGTAAATGAGAGGGAGGGAGGGAGGGAGGGAGGGAGGGAGGGAGGGAGGGAGGGAGGGAGGGAGGGAGGGAGGGAGGGAGGGGGGAGGGAGGGAGCATGGAACGCGGGTAAATGCATGAGATCGACAAATGCCCTTGTTGATATTGCACCTGCGTCGTTGCGGAAAAAAGGCATTGAGACAAAGGGAACCATGGCATCAGGATAATGCACGACAAAGAGAGCACATGAGAGAATGGAATGCGGGCAAATGAGCGAGGTGAAAATGAATGCTTTTGTTGATCTTGCGACTGCAGACAGACAGGCATGGCGGAGCACGGCTCAAGCCTCAAGGGAGAGTGAGGGGGTAAGGGCACGCTATGCTTCCCACACGTCAATTCATGCCTCACATGTCATCCCATGCCATGCCTCACATGTCATCTGACGACATCTTGGTGTATACGATCGCTAGAGCGTTCTCCTTGCCCTTATCTGCTGCATTTGAGCATGGCATCACATGCAATCCCATCCCATCCCATGCCATGCCATCCCATGCCATGCCATCCCATGCCATGCCATCCCATGCCATGCCATCCCATGCCTCTCACTCACATGTCATCTGACGACATCTTGGTATATCCAATGGCAAGAGCGTTCTCCTTGCCCTCTGCGAATATGGCCTGCCAGGGCAGAAACGCAGCACAGCACAGCAGCATATAAGGAGGTGTTGTGTCGAGGATGAGGGGTCTTGAGGAGGTGTTTGCCCCTCATGCTTTCCTTGAGGAATAAACAGGTGTACAAGGCTCACTCGCTCACCACAGGGGAGTCTGCTGGAATGCTGTCGTCCATCTTCCCTCCCGGGGTTGTGAGTCCCGGGCACATGATGTTGGCCCCTAACATGGCACACTGATAGCTTTCCTTCAAGGCTTGTAGTTGGATCACTCAGCTGTAGCAGACCCACTCACTACAGGGGAGTCTGCTGGAATGCCGTCGTCCATCTTCTCGCCAGGGGATGTGAGTCCCGGACACATGATGCCGGCTCCTCTTGACATCACGCACCGATGCTCTTTGTGAGGTTAAACAGGTGCACAAGGCTCGCCCACTCACCACAGGGGAGTCTGCTGGAATGCCGTCGTCCATCTTCCCTCCAGGGGATGTGAGTCCCGGGCACATGATGTTGGCTCCTGACATGACGAACTTGATGGCGCCTCTGTCCACCTGCATCTTGCGCATCATGTCCGGATCTGGATGGGGGCGTGGGAAGGGGGATGGGGGAAAGGAGATGTGAGCCCCGGGCACATGATGTTGGCCCCTGACATCACAAACTTAATCGCGCCCCAATCCACCTGCATCTTGCGCATCATGTCCGGGTCTGGGGAGGAAAGGGGGACAGGGGAAGGGGGAGATGGGCGAAGGGAGATGGGGGGGAGATGTGAGCCCCGGGCACATGATGTTGGCCCCTGACATCGCAAACTTGATCGCACCTCTGTCCACCTGCATCTTGCGCATCATATCTGGGTCTGGGGGAAGGGGAGATGGGGGGGGGGGGGGGGGGGGGGGGGGGGGGGGGTTAGATGGTGGTCAGTTGGAGGAGAATGGGGAGCATAACATGCCGTTTCACTTGGAGCTCGGGATGTGAGCCCCGGACACATGATGTTGGCTCGGGACATGACGAACTTGATAGCATCCCTATCCACCTGCATCTTGCGCATCATATCCGGGTCTGGGGGAAGGGGGAGACGGGGAAGGGAGAGATGGGGGAAGGGGGGGGGGGGAAAGGGGGAGGGGGACGGGGGAAGAGGGGGGAGAAAGGGGGAAGGGGGAGACGGGGGAAAGGGGGAGACGGGTTAAAGGGGGAGATGGGAGGGAGACGTGAGTCCGGGCACATGATGTTGCCCCCTGACATCATCACAAACTTGATCGCGCCTGCTATATTGAAATCATGAGAATTTTCAAAAGTGATTTCAATATATCCACCTGCATCTTGCGCATCATATCCGGGTCTGATGTTGTTGATGGGGAAATGGGGGGGAGCGGTAATGGTAGAAGGGAAAGTAGGGAGGGGAATGAGGGTGAAGGAACGGGAGTGCTTGGCCTTTGGCCCTATCCACCTGCATCTTACACATCATGCCTGTGGCAACATCATGTGCCCGGATCCACCTGCATCTTGCACATCATGTCCGGGTCTGGTGTTGTTGACAGAGAGGAGGGGGGGGGGGGCTTGAGGCGCCTCAAAAGTGGCCTGCGCCCCTATCCACCTGGATCTTACGCATCATGTCCGGGTGTGGGGTTTGGGGAGGAGAGGAGGGGGATAGGATTGAGAGGATTGGGGGGACAACATCGATGGATGCAAAGGCGGTAAGGACAATGCACCAAAGCACCAATGTGCAGCAGGTGGAGTTTTGGGCATGTAAAAGTAAAAGCCGTGTTGCACTGGATGCTGGGTGTTGTGCGCCGTGTTACCCATGTATTGAGATGAGTGCAACGTGGGTGGGCCTTCTTATGGAAATCACTTTTGAGAATTCTCAAAAGTGATTTCCATATACTTGGAGATGAGTGCAACGTGGGTGGGTGGGCCTTCTTACATTGGTGCAGCAGGCGAAGTGTGGGCATGAATGGGCCGTCTCTCACGTTGAAGAAGAGCGGAACACCGTTCATGACCACTATGCTCACATGGTTGGGGCTGCGTATACGATGGCCACATGGTAAAGAACAAAAAATAATGTAATTTTAGTCGACTCAAACAACACTCACGATGGCGACAGTTATGCTGACATGATTCAAACTGCAACACCGGAAACAAGTGGAGGGAGGGAGGATTTAGCAGGTAAAACATTATTTGTTGCAGTTTTGCTGACATAATTCAAACAGCAACACCGGAAACTTGATGTTTGCAGGTAAAGCAAATGAAGGAGGGCGGGAGGATTTCTCGAGTGATGTGCGCACCATTTAGCGACCACGATGGGTGATTTCTTGGGCAGCAGGTCTTCCAGGACCGGGTCTAGACTCGGGTACTGCGAAGAGGAGAGGATGGGAGGGGCGGAAGAACGGATGGGAGAGAAGCGCATGCGGGATGGAATGGGAGAGAGGCGCATGAAGAGTGTTCCTCAGCTTCCATTCTTGGGAATTCTCAAAAACCTCCTCAGCTTCCGTTTTTGAGAATTCTCAAAAACCTCCTCAGCTTCCATTCTTGGGCAGCAGGTCTTCCAGGACGGGTCTAGACTCGGGTACTGCGAGGGGGAAAGGGGGGGGGGGGGGGAGAGAGCAACATGGGAAGAGAGGAGCAGAGGAGCACATGGGGCGCACAGGAAATCTACTGTTGACCCGCCTCACAGTCCCTTGCTGGGCAACAGGTCTTCCAGGACGGGTCTAGACTCGGGTACTGCGAGGGGGAAAGGGGGGGGGGGGGAGAGAGCAACATGGGGAAGAGAGGAGCAGAGGAGCACATGGGGCGCACAGGAAATCTACTGTTGACCCGCCTCACAGTCCCTTGCTGGGCAACAGGTCTTCCAGGACGGGTCTAGACTCGGGTACTGCGAGGGGGAAAGGGGGGGGGGGGGGGGGGAGAGAGCAACATGGGGAAGAGAGGAGCAGAGGAGCACATGGGGCGCACAGGAAATCTACTGTTGACCCGCCTCACAGTCCCTTGCTGGGCAACAGGTCTTCCAGGACGGGTCTAGACTCGGGTACTGCGAGGGGGAAAGGGGGGGGGCAATGGGTGGGACGGGGGGGGGGGGAAGAGAGGCGCCAAGACCGGGTCTTGGACGCGAGAAGGGTGGGCTGGACGCGAGCAGGGCACATAGGGAGCCTCGTAAGCTAAAGTCTCTACTTCTATGCTCACCTCCGCAGTGAAAAAAAAAAAGGGCCAAATCTTGCGCTGAACAGACAGCTTGAGCTGGCTCTGTGGCATGCCCTGCTGAAAAAACGCGATTCAAGAGTGACTTACTCCTTGGAGCGCTCACCTCCTCGGGACGCTCACCTCCTCGGCTATAGACTGCCGAATCTTGCGTTGAACGGACGCCTTGAGCTGATTCTGCCCCGCTACCTCCTCGTTAGAGAATCTGTGCAGGGAGGAAAGAGGGCAAAGGGGAGAGGAGGGAGGGAGGGCAAAAGGGGAGGAAGGAGGGGAAAAAGGGGATGAAAGGGCTGGCCGATTTGAACAGACGGAGGGCACGGGAACAAGGAGGGATGAAGGAGATGGGGGGTTGGGGGGAGGGACGACAGGAAGGGGTTGTGGGGGGGGAGGGGTGGTGGAGTGGAGAAGGGGGTGAAGGCGTGAGGCGGCATCAGCCACGGAAATGATGGGGGAAGTAGGCGGCGCAACTATTCATAATTGCTTCCGCCGAAAAATGTATGAGGCAAATTTATGCAGCATTCGTGGACCGGCGAAATTTATGGAGGGCGTACTTTTTGAACATGGCGAGCCGCGGATGCGAGTCGACGCGGAGCGCGCGGAGTCGCTGGATGCTGACACGTGTAGGGTACTAGCGTCGAAGTTTCTGAAAATTCCTAGTAACGGCTTAGATCCTCGCGAAGACTGGACGACGGTGAAAGGAACGCTGGGGAGTCTAGAGCAACTTGGTTTTTCAGCAGGGATTAAATTTAGATATTTTTTCCAGCAGGGTTGGGTGGCGACATACGCGTTAGAATTCACTGATCTAAACCAACTTATGCTGGATAGCTAAAAGGAATCACTATCTTACTGACCCTTTTGCAATTTACTGTACTGTTTCTGTTAGCTTCACAACATTTGAAATGTCGATCCACCATGGATTCCGTGAGGAAATGCGGAATCTAAGTACCACCAATTAGGGTTTCCTGTACTCGCCATGAATCGTCCGTCTTTCAGGCCGCGGCCGGTGGACATCAATAAGAAGCTCGCGATCGTCCGATCGACGGACGAGCTGAACGCGGAGGACGAGGGCGTATCGCGGACCGTCCATCATGGCCACATCGCTCTCGATGCCGAAAACGAGCAGGTGTAGACAGTCGGATTTTCGTCGTCGAAACCCTAAAATACACCCCTCTTGGCCTTCCTTGAATCGCTGGCTGGATTTTGAAGGGCTTCGCTATGTATTCGCTGATGAGCGTCAGTCAGCGAGTATTTTCCGATTTTTTCTATTACAGATCTGACGTGTATTTCCCGTCGACATTTCGTGTCCGTCCATGTCATGTTGTGCCGACGTGGCAGATCCTGCCGGCACCGTCGAAGAAGGGACCATCCGTGGAGATCCCAACGCCGCACTGCGGCGTGGTCGACGCGTACGACAAGCTCTACCCGGCGAACTTTCGCCAACCGTCGTCGTACATTCGCAGCAAGCATGGTGGGAGATTCTTGCTTCGTGCTGTCGTGCCGTCGTGCTGTGGTGCTGTTGTGCTATCGTGCTGCTCTGCTGTCATGCTGCTTTGCTGTCGTGCTGCTCTGCTGTCATGCTGCTCTGCTGTCATTCTGCTCTGCTGTCGTGCTGCTCTGCTGTCATGCTGCTCTGCTGTCATGCTGCTCTGCTGTCATTCTGCTCTGCTGTCATGCTGCTCTGCTGTCATGCTGCTCTGCTGTCATGCTGCTGTGATATTCTTATCTCCGTGTCTACTCTCCTATGCATTCCATGATTCTAATTTTCCCGTGATTTCCGCCGTGCAGTGCGGCAGGACGACGGGGTGTACGTGGAGTATGATCTGGATGACGAGGACGAGGACTGGCTGGAGGTGCTCAACCAGAACAGACTGTTGCTCGCTGCAGACAGGTACAGAGCGGTACCATGTGGTGCAGTGCGGTACTATGCGGTGCAGTGCGGCGTTACAGTGTGTGTTGTGTACGGTGTGGTGAAATGCCAGTGCAGTGCGGCAGGAGGACGGCGTGTACGTGGAGTATGACCTCGATGACGAGGACTGGCTGAAAGTGCTCAACCAGAACAGGCTGCTGCTCGCTGCAGACAGGTACAGTGCGGTGCAGCTCGATACATTGCGGTGTGTCACGGTTGACTGCGTTTCTGCTGTTGTGTACACATTCTTTGCAGCTGCCGTTTGGAGCTGCTGGGTGCAGAGTGGTACTATGCGTTCTTGCCACAGAGTTCCAACACATACCATGTCATCTCCCCTTGCCACGTCATCTTCCCATGCCACGTCATCAGGCTGGAGTGGATGATCTACCAGATGGAGCTACTGGATGCGCGGGCGAGGACCAAGGCAGGGACGGCCATGCTGGCAGGCGTGGAGCAGACAGGTGTATCTGGGCAGGTGTCATCTGGGGGAGTGCGAGTGCCCGTCCTGCTGCAGCAGCAACAAGCCATCGATGTGAGTTCTGATTCCGCTGCAGAGGGGGAAGCATGAGAACTGTGCAGTTGCCTGTTTTGCATGAGTTGGGAATATTCGAAGCTCTGGAGCATGTGGGGGAAACCCATTTTGCACCTGGCTTTTCTGTGTCGCACTTGCACAAATGACCTTTCCCACCTGCTTGTTTGGATGGGCAGGCGTTGAGAGCGCAGGTGCCAAGGCAAGCCATCATCGCTGCAGCATATGACTATTGGCGGTCCAAGCGAGAGCGGTGGGGGAAGCCCATTCTAAGGCGCCTGCAGCCTTCGCCTGCCATCACAGACACCAACCCGTTCAACGTGTTTCGACCGAGGGAGAGAGCCCACCGCCCCAACACACGCCGGGTATGTAAAAGAGTTCAGGTAGACCCAGCAAGCATGCACCACCCTTCACAGACCCATTCTAAGGCGCCTGCAGCCCTTGCCAGCCATCACAGACACCAACCCGTTCAACGTGTTCCGACCCAGGGGGAGAGCCCACCGCCGCAACACACGCTGGGTACGTTGCTTTCCTGTGCAAAGTATGTGGGGTATTGGCTCTATTATGTGCTCTTCTGGTGCTGAGGTCGCTGCTCATCCCTTCCACCTAGCAAATGCATGTTTCAGCATGCCTCTCACATGTTCCCAATCTCATCCCTCCCCTTTGCGTCCCCTCCTGCCACCCCTCCCCCGGGTCCCTGCTCTCCTTTCTCTCCCCCCCCCCCTTTTCCCCCTCCTCCTTTTCCACTTGCATATTGCATCGGGTATGCAGATGCAGCGGAGGGAGAATGACATGGCATCATATGAAAAGCTCGTGCGGGTGCGTTTTTTTTCATTGTGCTGCCTGCTTGAGTGCCTGGGAATATTTCAATCAAAGTTCCGTCTCTTATTCAAAAGGCTCTGCATGTTCTTCGCTTGCGAAGCCTATCTGCCCCTTTCTACCTTTAGTTGCAGTACTTATTTTCTGACTGACCAGGCTTATTTTCCACAACCTGCCAGGCTTCCGACTGACCAACCCTTTCTGTGCCCTTCCATTCCTTACCGTCTTTGTTTGACAATTTTCTTTCATTCATCCCCCTTTGTAGCAGGTCCAGAAGAACATTGAAGACGCCTTGCAACTAGCACAGGCTGTTGAGAGAGTGAGTGCAGATTGACATTGGCTCTGTCACCCTTCCTCCCATTTTTGTTCGTTCATTCACCCCTCTCTCCCTCCTCCCATTTTTTTCTCTGCTAAGATTCTCTTGCGGAGCTGCTAACTCTGTTTCTCGCCACTGTCTCACTCTTTCTCCCAATGTCCCTTGCTCCCGCACCCACTCGTCCTCTGCGACTCATGCCTTAGTTTTAAGTGCATCCATACTTCATAATTGCTCCTGGTTCCAATTGTCGTGCCACCACGGGTGATGCGTGCAGAGGGAGGAGAGTAAACGCGAGCTCATTCTCTGCGAAGTGGCTTTGCAACAAGCAGCGCTCTCAGAGCGGGTAAGCTGCGTCTTTTCTAGCAAGCTGTGCTACGCACTGCACCTCACATTGTGAATTTTACTTTTGAGAATTCTCAAAAGTGAAATGCGAGTTCATTCGCCGCGAAGTGCCTTTGCAACAAGCAGCACTCTCAGAGTGGGTAAGTTGCGTCTTCTGCAGCAAGCTGTGCCATGCACATAGCACTGTTTCGAGGCGCCAAAAAAAATCCGCGTGCGAGGAGTCTAGTTTTGAGGCGTCTCAATATTCGTTTTCTGTGTGTGCTTCCACATTGCATCTCGTCATTCCCAGGGCATCCCGTTGCAGCATGCAGAGGCCCTTGGGATCATCCCAGGCGCTCTTTGAGGTGCCTGAAAAGTGCCGTCATGTGTGTAACATTCTTCCCTGTTTGCAATCTTCCTCCTCTTGTCTTTATTCCCAGGACATCACGGTGCAGCAAGCAGAGGCCCTTGGGATCATCCCAGACCTCTCCTTTTCGCACGCCAAGCCTTTCCCTGGATCTGCATCAGACGACCAGCACCAAAATCAACAGCAATACCAACTCTTACCACCTCCTGCCGGCACCACCCTCACCGGCGCCCCTGCTTTTGTCACTCTGGACGGCCTGCCTCCCGCAAATCACATTGACAATATCCTCTCAGTCACTCGCCGCCGGGGCTCTGTCGGAGCAGCAGGAATAGCAACTGCAGGATCAGCCGCAGCAGGATCAGCAGCAGCAGGGGGATGACACCTGGAGCAGCAGCAGGAGCAGGGGGGTGGGCTGGGTGGTTACCAGACGCACCGACCGTAACCTCTGGGCCGGTTACCGATGCAGTGTCGCCGCTAGACCATCTGCTCCCGCTGCTGAAGAAGAAGAGGCGGCGGCAGGTGGTGTTCCCCCGAGGAGGCAGGCTCAGTCGCGTGCTTCGTAGCGCCCCTCCTCCCGACATTCCCATGCCCTTCACCCGCTCGTTTTCGGTCGAGCAGCTCGCTGCAATGCACATACAACCGCCTCTGCTCTCCCTCTGGCCTCCTCCTGATTCACTCTGCCTCCCGCCTCTGGTACCCTCATCTGTATCAGCGGTGGGAGCGAGAGAGGGTGTGGAGTTGAGGGTGAGGGGGAGGGTAGGCAGGGGAGGGAGGCTGATATTTGATCGCTGGGATGTGATGGAAGGAAGGCCGTTAGTGGCGCCTGCACCTGCTGTCGCTGCCGTGCCTGCTGCCGCGCCTGCAGCCGTGCCTGCTGCCGCGCCTGCTGCCATGCGTGCTGCCGTGCCTGCTGGTGCGGGTGCTGCCATGCCTGGTGTGACTGCTGCCATGCAAGATGCTAATAACAAGGATCTGGTACCGAGTGCATCCATGCAGAATGACATGCAGAATGCAGCTTATGACCTGTCCTTGAGTGGTGCTGTAAGGAAGGATTCAACTGACAACCCTGCTGCTAGAGAGGCCTCCAATCCCCCAGCAATAGCAGTTGGAGCAGCAGCTGCTGGGATTAATGCTGCTCGTGCTCCTCCTGCCTCCGCTTCTGCTCCTTCCCCAATGCTGCAAGCATCTGCACCAATCAACGGCCCCGTTCCTTCCTCTGTCCCACCCTTCGCTCCTCAATCAAAGCCCGCTGCTCCTCCTGCATTCACTGCTGCACCTGCTTCCGCTGTCAACCCCGCTGCTGCACCTGCTTCCGCTTTCAACCCCGCTGCTGCACCTGCTTCTGTTACTGGGACTGCTGAAACTGCTGGTACTGCTGCTGCTCCTCCTGCTGTTGCTGCTGCCGCTGCTGCTGCTGCCACATCCCAATCTGCAGCTGTTACCAGCCAACCCAGCACCTCAGCACTTGCTGCTCTTCCACAATCACGTGCCCCTGCTCCTGCATCTTCCCCTGCACCTACCTCTGCCGCTGCTTCTGCTGCTGCCGCTGCTTCTGCTGCTGCCACTGCTGCTGCTTCTGCTGCTGCTGCCGCTGCTGCTGCTGCTGCTGCTGCCGCTGTGCCTGGAACCACTAGGCCTGTGACAAATGCCAATGGTGCAAGTATAGGGTCCAAACCTGGACCCAACACTGGTGCAGCTGCTGATGGGGTAGCTGATAGACGTTCAAACAGTGGAAAGGCTTTTGGGATCGGCTCCTCTCAACCTGCACTGGGTAGTAATGCAGCGGGTGTAGGAGCAGCAAGGGGTGGAGCGGGTGTCGGAGGGGTGCAGAGCGGTGTGAGGGTTGTGGGAGGAGTAAGAGGTGGAGAGGGGGGTGTAGGAGTTGCGCGGGGTGGGGTGAGTACAGGAGCGGTTAGGGACGGTGCTGCTGGGTTAAAAGCTCCAGTCTCAGGGGTGTCAGGTGTGGCTTCACCTTACATGCCACCGAAGCAGCGATATCATGTGCAGCGGGCAGATAAAAATGTGTGAATCGCATGAGGTGTAGCTGACGAGGCTGCTTCTCTAATTCACTGGATTTTGTGTACAGTGTACGAATAGTGGAATGCCCAATTGGTGTTTTATTGGCAGGGGTAGATGTGCAGGCATATTCTGCAGTTGGTGTTGAGGGATATGGGTGTTTTGTGAGTATTGGTTAAGCCGCGATAGTGTCACATGACTCGCATCCCTCACCCCGCATCCCTCGGTAGTGGAACCCCTTTGCCTCTCTCCTCTCCATCCCTTCACCAACTCGCAACGGAACACACGCAACTACGTCCCCTCGTGCTTGAAGAATGTTACCTCTAATTTTGCCAGTGTATGAATCTAATCGTAGTAGAGTCTGAAGAAACGTTTAGTGTTGGGCGCAGGCCAATAGACTGTTGTGACGGTTTGCCAGAAGAAAAGCATCCGACCAGGCAAGTGAGCGAAAGGTCGAGAGATTTCTTATCGAACAAGCCAAAGTTTTTGGATTAGTGTCAAATTCAGGTGCAGTAGAAAGAGACTGCAGTGAAATTCGTCGGATCAATAAGGATACCAATGGTAGCATAGGGCTTTGCTCACGCTGACGATAGGCAATAGGATTGCGCCAGAATAATAATGCTGGCAGGAGAATTTTACTTTTGAGAATTCTCAAAAGTAAAATTCACGTCGCTGACGATAGGCAATAGGATTGTGCCAGAATAACAATGCTGGAAGGAGGGCTAGAGGTACGATAAACCCGCGACTTTTTTCGAATCGTAGCCCAGTGTAGCAGCGATTGCAGCAGAAGCGATGTGACAACAGCGGGAGTGATCGAGTAACACCTGATGTGACAATAACGGGTGACGCTCGGATTCTTGACATCGTTATAGGTCACCGACGCTCGGTTGACCGGGGATAAGCAGATTTGAGCAGAGTCAGCATGAGGGGATGACGTCAGCGAAAAGGGCTGGTGACGTCAGCGGCAAGGGGGAGGAGGGTTCGCGAAAAGCCGTTTCAAGAAGGGCTTCTCAGGAGAAGGGTAGGAGGGGCGATCGGGAATGGCCTGAGAAGGGCGGTTATGGGGTTCGACGAGTGGAGAGGCGGAGAGACGGAAGCAGCAGCAGCAGCAGTGGCGCCGCCAGCGGCAGCAGTAGCAGAAGTAGGAGTATGATTAGGGATAGAGTTGATAGTGGTAGTAGAAAAAGGGGCAGGAGTAGAAGCAGGACCAGCAGCAGCAGCAGTAGCAGGAGCAGTAGGGGAGGAAGGCACGGCAAGAAACAGGTTAACGGCAAGAGCAACAGAAGTCGAAGCAGCAGCAGCGGCAGCAGCAGCAAGGGCAGGAGCAGGAGCAGGAGCAGGAGCATGAGTAGTGATAGATACTACAACCGGAGGAAACCGAATGGCGGGCGTGCAGGGAGGAAATTTAAAGACTCCAGCAGCAGCGATGGCAGCAGCAGGGGAAGGGGTAGGGGCAGGAGAAGCAGCAGCAGGAGCAAGGGCAGGAGCAGGAGTAGCAGCAGGGGCAGCAGCAGCAGCAGCAGCAGGAAGAGCGGTTGGAGTAGTAGCAGCAGTGGGAGCGATGAGGAGGAGGATAGACGTAGGCCCAGGGACTTAACCGCTATGAGGAGGAAGAGAGAAAGAGAGAGAGGGGATGGGACAAGGGAACGGGGGAAGGAACATTCAGGGCTTGCTGCTGGTTCATTGAATCTAGACCTGAAGAGTCGAAGGAAGTCGTTGGAAATAGGAGGAGCAGGAAGGATGGTTGGCGTGAAGGAGAAGGAGAAGGATAAGGAGGGGGTTTCGGGGAGGAGTGAAGGTGGCAAGAGCAGGAGGGATGGAGCTAGGGACGGAGGGAGGGAGGGGGGAGTAGAGGGGAGTGTGAGGAAGGGAGGAGAGAATGAGAGGAGGGACGGGGAGAGGGAGAGGAGGGACGGCGAGAGGGGGAGAAGGGAAGACGAGAGGAGGGGGCGGGAAGGAGAGCGGGACAAGAGGAGAGATGTTCCAAGGGAGGCAATAAAGATTGTTGATGTGAGGGATATAATTGCTTCGTCCCTGCAGGGGATAGACAGGCAAAAGGAGAGGGACAGCCGAAAGGAGGTGGTAGTTAGGGATAGTTTTAGGCAAGGGGTGAGTAAGGGAGAGGAATGCAGAGGAGGGAAGGAAAGAAGGGTGGATACAGGAGAGGAAAGAGGAGAGAGTAGAGGCGGGAAGGAGAGAGAAGGGTTGCGAAGAGAAGGGCGCGTAGGAGGGGAGTTAGCAGAGCGGGATTTTCGAAGCAGTGGCACGTTTAAGTCGCCTGGAGGGCACACCGAGCGTCACTGTGATAACAGTGAGAGGGATGGGAGAAGGCGAGGTGATGAGCGAAGGGGGGACAGCTTCAGAGGAGGAGGGGGCTTTTGTGAGAGAGGTGGAAGGAGCCATTTGTTTGAAGAACAGCAGTTGGGAGAAAGGCGGTTCGCAGAAAGCAGCAGAGGGCACAAGGAGGAGAGGAGTCCGGGTGGGGTTAAGGGTTTGTTGTCTCCGCAGGAGAGGAATTTGGGAGGGCTGTCGGGCTTGTCTGGGCGGCAGTTTGATGGGAGGAGGGGAGAAGAGAGGAGGGAGTGGAGGGTGGAGGAGGGGGATCGGTGGGAACTTGGAATTGGTAGGGTGGATGGGAGAGGGGAGAAGGAGGAGGGGAAGGAGAGGGGGAGAGAGGAGGATGTGGGAGGAGAGAGGGGAAGGGAGGAGAGTTGGGGAAGAGAGAGGGGAGATGAGGAGGATGGGGGAAGAGAGAGAGGAAGAGCTGAGGATGGGGGAAGAGTTAGAGGAAGAGAGGAGGGCAGCAGGCTTATGCATGGTCGAGATGGTCGACATTCGAGGGAGCATTCATTGGAGGACGAGGAAAGGGGCCGTTCTTTGGAAAGAGTGGAGAGGGGGGGTGATGGAGATGGGGATAGGAGGAGGGTGAGAGACAAGGGAGAGAGGGAAGAGAAAAAAGAAGGTAGAACCTCCAGAGGCAGCGAGGAGGAAAGGAGGCCGTCCCCTGTATTCCACGAGGGGGGAAGAAGGCCGTTCCAGTCACCTCAGGAAGTTGATCGGAGGAGTTTCCTGTCACCTCAAGAGGGGGACGCCAGGAGAGTGGGGAGGGCGTGGAATCCCGGAGAGACAGGGGGAGGTGGGGTGTTCGATCGTGGGGTATGGGTGGGGCGGGCAGGGGGGAGGGTAGCGAAGGAGGCAGGCATGGGAGGGGGTTCAGGGCACCACACAGAGAGGGAAGACAGGTGGAGGATGAGGGGAATGGAAGAGAGGGGCTATGGCGGTGGTGGTGGCAGTAGAGGCAGGGGATTTGGACGAGGAGGGAGGGATGGTGGTGGTTGGGATGGTGGGCGGGATGATGCTGCTGGTGTTGGTGGTGGTCGGGGTGATGGGGGTGGCAGATGGATGGACAGGAGAGGGGGGCGGGGAGGGCGTGGGTGGGGAGAGCGCGTGGGAGGGAGGTTTGAGGGCTCTTCTTGTACTGCTTTTCCTCATAGCGCCATGGCGCTTGGTGCTGCTCGTGATAGTGCCATGGGTGTTGGCCTTCGAGATAGGAGCATGGCTTCAGGGGGAGAGAGGGGACAGACAGAGAGAGGAGGGATAGAAAGAGGAGGGGCGGATAGGAATGGAGAAGAGTGGGGCGGATCAGAGAGGGCAGGGGGAGAGATGAATTCAACTTGTAAAAAAGAACCAATGTGGGAAGGCGGTTCGTTTAAAGCCACTGATGCGGTTCTAGATGCTCCTCCTGGCTTCGGCCCTCCTGCTTTTATCGCAGCTGCTTATAAGAGGGCGACAGGTGGAGAGGCCACAGCAGAGGCAGGGACAGGGAAGCAAGTGGGAGGAGCAGTAGCAGGCGTTGCGAGTGAAAGTGGAGACAGACGGACTGGAGTAGCAAAGGTGTGTGCAGCAGAGGGAGAAGGAGCAGGGATGGGAACAGAGATGCAAGCAAGGGCAGGTGTGCCAACAGGAGCTGAAGCGAGAGCAGAGATGGGAGCAGGGATGGGAGGGGAGATGGGAGAACAGGTGGGAGGAGAGGGGTATGCGGTGGGGATGGGTGCGGAGGAGTGTGATGCGTGGTGCCTCTTGGATGAGACACTGGGAGCAACAAGTGGGCCCTTCCCCTTCAGTCATGTCCAGCAGCAGTTTGCAGCAGGGTGAGTTGAGTGAGTGAGCTTGCGACAATTTTGTTCAATCACGTTTGTAATCATGTTCAATCACGTTTGTAATCATGTTCAATCACGTTTTTAATCATGTTCAGTCACGTTTGTAATCATGTTCAATCACGTTTGTAATCATGTTCAATCACGTTTGTAATCATGTTCAATCACGTTTGTAATCATGTTCAATCACGTTTCTAATCATGTTCAATCACGTTTGTAATCATGTTCAGTAACATTTCTAATCATTTTCAGTAACGTTTCTAATCATGTTGAGTAACGTTTCTAATCATGTTCAGTAACGTTTCTAATTTTGTTCAGTAATTAGTTAAAGCCAGGATCTCAAGTAAATAAATTGTTTTGCAGTCGGTGAGGGGGGCTTGGCTGTGATTGGTGAACGAGGTGGATAGTCTGACGAGGGGTGAAGTGAGGGGTGCGAACTAAAGACAAATCGCAAGTTTGAGTCCGAACCAGGGAGGCACGGAATCTGGTTCGGCGACGAAGCTCCAACACCTGCAATTTCTCGTCACCCCCAAACAATCTCATGCACCAGCAATCTGTTTTGCATTTGCTCCAGGGGCAAAAAAGTGGGTGTGTCGCACACTCAACTTCCTAACCAACCAGTAAATTCGCCTCCACAAATAGGGTAACGAGAGCTGCAAGTGTTTTGCAATTGAAGGCCAATTCTCGTACTTGAGATCCTGGCTTTAAGTCACGGTTTCTAGCACGGTGAATGCGTCAGAGCTGATTGTTTGCAATGGTTGTTGGCTTATTAAACAAAGATATATGATCATGTTCAGTATCCTTCCTGATAAAAGAGATGTTTTGAGACGTCTCAAAACATGATCATGTTCAGTA